CGAAAAAAGTTGAGATATTTTTAGTGGTCGCTTCGCCATGTTGATTTGTTGAAACCAAAACAACATTTTAGGAAAATTCCAATCGTGTGGTGTATCTGGGATGAACACACGAAGGGGGAGCCGGCGCTGCTCCCTAATAGTTGCTGTTAGTTCATTGCCTGGTAAATAGCAGAATGAAACCTCTTTAAACCAAGTCTACGCCAGTTTGGAGGCGCTGCCTGCAGCGGCGGCTGCATTTGGTTGGACACGGCGGTGCGTGTCATCACGTTTGCCGTTATGTATTTGTTTGTCAACATGATTGTCGGTACATGTAAACGTTGCGGGCGTTATCTTTGTCTGGGTCTCAACCTGATTCCCAAATTGAGGATTTTTCTTCATAGCTTGGATGAGTGCAGGGTTTCTCTCCACAGTCTTAACTACAGTGGGACGCTTACCAAAAAGTCCCTTGAGATTTCGTCTCTGTTCCATATTGGCATTGCTTGAAACATCGTCGGCCGCAGTGTAACCCTGGAGGCTGCGGTGTGCGATTCGTGATTTGGTAAATTCTTCAAAATGGATATGAGAGTCTATCTCTGCAATGATTAGATCCAAACAAAACCCTACCGTGATTGCTAGTATCTGGAAGCTATTCCAATGCATTATCTTTGGGGCGAAACTCTTGCGTTGTAGGTAGTTTAAGTGAAAGGGGATAAATATCAAAATGATGTTAGTCATTACGGTGGAAGTTTGTTGGGACTGTTGCATCTGGACCCGGTCAAACTCCATTCCGCTTTATAGTATTTGAAGTATGTATACATCTCTACCTTGCGCAGGTTGATGTGAAGTGCATCACTTCTTTGAGGCATAATTAGGGATCTTTCGCGCGATTGTGAGCGGTTTGGCTTGCGATATGTTTTGAGATACCCAAAGGGAGCATCTGGTTAAAATTCGATCTAATATCGCTATTTTGGAGTGGAATTACGAAAAAAAAAAAAAAACTTATCAAGCTGCAATTTGGCGCCACTCTTGCGCTGTTATTTGCATCCTACTTGCCGTTAATACAACACAAAAAATATGAGGAGAACTGTTATTCCGAAAGCTTTCGAACAAGGGTGTCAGTGCATTAAAATTCTACCTACAGATATGATTAGGCGGAAAATTGTCAAATAGCCATAAATTCGTGGGACAGAGAAGTATACAAATATTCAAGAAAAGAGTTTACACGTTTTTTTACTTTTAAAAGTACAAAACTAACAAAACCTGGATATTTAAGATATATAATATTAACATAAATATCAATGGAATTTATTCTTGTTGAGTCTTGGGGGTGTCGCCACCGGCCTAATGCTCTGAAGCAGGGAAATTATGCCTCTTTCAGCCGGCCGTGCGATCTAGTGATAAAATAAAAATGATAGTTACCTCCAACATACCCGATATATCAGAACATATCTCCAACATAACCTCCAACAAAGCCAATTACGCACTGGCACGACACACGACTCCATCGGACGATTTTATGTGGCCGGGATAAGTATCCGTTCCCATTATCGCAATAATTTGCGGGAATTCTTTGCTCTCCGTAATTCACTGTGGCACAGAATGGTTTGTTGGTTCTTTCTTGTGCACAGGTTTCTTTGTGGTCATTCCTGAAGCAAAACCAGCGCGACGCGTTCGGATAGTATCTGCTTGATAAACCATCAGTGTAGTAGATCCAACGCAATTACCACTTATGTGTATATTGGTAGATGACCACAAGTCGAAAGGGTGCTTTGACAGAGCGAGGAACGAGAATGGCCATGTTGTGAACCACCGCAGCAGCAGCACCACAGCAGTTATCAGCGGGAGCAGGCACTACCATGTTGGTCTTCGTTCCAGCATAAAGTTCAATCCTAGGTTGGAGGAAGCGTAGTCAGAAAAAAA